CTGTGGATTCATCATGATAGAAAAGTGAAAGTGATGCGAAATGAAATGTTTGCTTGTCATGAATAAAGCGCTGCTTTTCGACAGAACTAGATAAATAACAATCAGTCGCTATCTGTGTATAGAGGATGCATCAAATGCAGCATATTGTAATAGGTTTATACAGAAATTATTTTTTGTCAATTCTGATCGGTCTCAAGTTGTAAGAAATATGTAACAAGCAAATTGCGTTTGATCTATAGCCCTTCCGCTATTTGCCAGATGTACTCCTGCGAAGGATTTTGATTACTCAGGATGTGACTTTTGTTCAATGCTCATGGTCTCGTAACAATAGCAGAAGGTGATTTTAGAGAAAATTTATTTGTGTGATCTCTTTTTGCTAAGTTCTTGCTAGTTAGATTTTCTCGGGCACTGTCGTTTTGTACTTGAAAGCAGTTGAAGAAAGCTGTTTAAGAGGAGAGAATGATGGTGAACCTTTGATGCCGAAAACATTATAGGATAGCCAAATAGTACAACACATCATATATTCAATTCATCTAAAATCCCTGTCAGTCCAATAAGCAAATATTTCAGCATCAATACCATCACTTATGACATAGTGTGACAGTTACTCTCGCAACTAATTTAGCATTGGTATGACTGCAATAAGTGTTTAACGAACCGATTTTACCGCTACGCTGACAACAATACCGGTCTTCAAAAGTAGTTTTCCTTTCTTCACCTCTGCATACTGTCCGCGACCAATCGTCTTCCCAACTCTCACATTTTTATGCTCAAATTCCCAGCTTGTGAGGCCAATGCCTCGTGTTAGCTTTATTTCCTGAACAAATGCATGTTATGCTTTGACTGCGGGAATCTTTTAAACATGGGAATTGAAAATTGATGTTAAAAAGAAGTTAAAAATAGAAATAGAGTACTATGTCGTTCACCACGAATGTGTTTTGCATGTGATGTTCAAACATGGCTGCAGCACTCTCGAACTTATGTTTGGGATCAACGTATGTTTTTCCAGACTTCTCGTAGATCATGAGATTGCGTACCTAAAATTGTAAAAATTGTGGCTTTTAAGAATTTATCAAAGCAAATTAGAACAACAACAGCAACAACAACAGAAAGCGTATGCTGTGGCATGGACTATGTAGAAAATACAGCTAGCCAAAGTGGTTTTTTCTCTAGTCAACATGATATTTTTACAGCTTTTCTCCCTTTTTGTCAACCGCGTACACTGCATCGCCGGCCAAACCAATTTCTCATCGAGATTTTGTCAGGGTTTTATAACGAGCTGATTCTTAGCCTGCGTTTGAAAATGTAAATATTTCGAAGCTGACAAATTTTGGCATGTTTACTAAAACAGTCGAAGTATGCCGTTGTCGAAGCAAGCCTTTTTTACATCTATCTCAAATTCATCTTGATATCTTGAAAAAACGCTTCCATTTCTTTTTTACTGATGAGAAGAAGTCGTCTTATAGGCTATTGCCATGATATACTATACATTTCACCGCTGCTACTCCCATTCTAGCAGTAAGAGACTATGAGATCCAAACATTGTTGCAAAGAGAAATTCGGGCCAAAATTTTACGAAACTCAGTCGTTTTTGAAAACTCTGAGGAAAATATTAGCATTTGTTTGTATTTGAACTTGCAATATGTT